CTTGCTGGGAGGATAAATGGCATCACTTATTTAAACAAGGCAGAGGAGCTTGCTCTGACAAAACCTTGCAGGCTAACGTTCAGCACTGGGACTGCCCACCTCTTCACACACCAGGATAGGCCAGGACAGCTATGCATGGCTTTGAATGACTCAGCTGGGTGACAAATCCTGACTGGAAGAAACCAACTTATCAGAGACCCCATGTTTATGTTCGCTTTCCAGGCACCATAGCTCTGCAAGTAGCAACACCCCCCAAACTGCAAAAAATGTAGGTATTGGGAAGCAGCAACAATAAAAAGTAGGCTATTACAACATGGGAAACTTAAAAATCAAGTTTTGAACTTTGTACAGGTAGCAAATACTTTAATTTCTGAAAACTACTACTACTTATATTTTGCAACTTAGGTGATTATTTTCTTAGATATACAACTGCCTAAGGCAAAGCAGGCTCAGAAAAGGTGTTTTTTTACTCAAATAAATCAGTCTCTGGTTTCTATCTGTTCACTGGGCTCTCCCTATTACTCCCTCTGACTCAGCCTTGAATACTGAATTGATGACAGCTTATTCTTTTTTTAAAAAAGATGCTATCTTTTTTTAGCAGACTGTGTTGAGCAATTCAGCAGATTTCTGTTTCAACTTGCTCAACAAAATTGTTTTTCAAATGGTATTTTTCCCAATGCATAGATTCTGAAGACAGAAATTATCAAGCAGTAAGTTTCCTAACGGACATGCATCAGGAAGGGTACAGGATCTCACACAAAGCTGTTTTCATAGACGTTCGTAATCTTATTTGATTTTACTAATAGTATGGATTTTCAAAATTTATTTTCATTACTAATGAGATTATACCAGCAAGAGTGTCAGGAGAATTTTGCTTTATAGTCAAGGTTTTACACAGAAGCTGCAACTCTTTTGGAAGGTGAGCATATCATCAGAAACATCCTTGGTTGTTCTAATTGGTAAACGGGACAGAAAACTGTTTCTGTCTCAAAACTGAATGGAGACAAGAGGCATGCACTGAGAAGTTTCCTTGTGTTGGAAACTTGAGAACCCAGTATAAACAAAAGTGTCTGAAAACCAAGAATAAGCAGACCTTCCCCTGAGATGTGTGTCAAAAATGTGCAAAAAATTCTGTCTTCAGAATCTATGCATTAAAAAATTTTATTCACAAGATGCATAAATACAAGGGAAAAAAATATGTAAAGGGATCCAGCCTTTTTTACTGAAAAATTTTAAAAGTTCCAAAACTTTTAAACTGGGGAAAAACACTTTTTAGTGACATTTTCTTCAAGGACAAGTGAAATGTCCAAATTTACTGCCTGTTGAACATGTGAATTTTCCTCTCCCCCCCCCCCCCCCATTTTTTTTTCTTTTACGTATCTTTCAACTGCCTTTTGTTAAGTGGCTCAGAGTAGGAAAGCTTTGTCATTTGCTCTGGATCACAGCCTTGTCTCAAAAACCAGACATCTACTGATGACACCTGTTGACGTGAGCTGAGAACATATTGTCAGAAGAAAATGGGATGGTTACAAAAAAAAAAAAAAAAGTCTGAGGCTTGAAGTAATGAAATTGGAATGAAACACTACAGGAAAGCAGCAGGAATAGGCAAGAGGGCATGGGAAAGAAGGGAGTGACTGCCATGGATAGTGACTGCAAGGCTGCTCTTGACCAAATCCCTGCTCATCTATAGTAGGGAAGTGACTAAAGGACAGATTTTCAACACAAAGCTCAGATTTAAGCTGTAAAATTATAAAGACTGAGTAACCAAGAAGGTATGCGTATGTATTTACTACACCAGGAAACGGCAATGCCTAGAAATGAGGCCTTTTCCATGTGCTGTGTGTTAGGAGATTTGAAGCTTGCACCTCCTGTGAGTCAGTTTGGTGTTACAAACAACATGTGAAGACCTCAGAGAAGCAAGCAGGGGAAGCCCTCCAAGATGTACTGGAGATGTACATCTACTAGTACATCTCCTAGCCCTGGGGAAAACAAACTACAAAAAAAAAAAAAAAAAAAAAAAAAAAAAAAAAAAAAAACAACAAAAAAACCCCAACCAAACTACCAAACTACACCCAAATACTACCTGACAACTGTTTATCCTTTATCCTGTTCTTAAAAAGGAGGGATGGAGGTCCCCCAGCCTCACTAACCTAAGGGGGCTCCTAGATAGTTCTACCAGTGAAAAGTGTGTTAATTTTCATCTTCATTTTATTACCCTAATTCTTAGCTCCTTGTAAGTTGACCATATTGCTGCTTGTATGATATTCAGAGTAAGGCACATAAATTTACATATCTAAATGAAAGCAAAGTGCCTGAACTTTCATTATGACCAGCAGAAATATAGCCAATACCCACAGAGATCAGAGTACTGCTCCACTTGCCCCCAAACCAGTCCATATTTATTTCTCTCTGAGCCCTACTGATTGTAAGTACATCCAATTAAGTATTGTAAAGCAAACACAGGAGGATTTGCAGAGCAAAGCACTTGATGCAGAGAACCCAACACCATACAACCCGTGGTTTGATGGATCCTACAGACTAGAATTAGCTTGTTCCCACAGGTCCAACATCTACAAGCAGATAGATGTATCTACCAATGTGTTTTCACTCAGGAGGGATACAATTCACTCACTCTTGAAATTTTCTTCAAAAGTACAATCTGATCCAATCAAACAGGTGCATTCAGTATCCACTGCATCTCCATATACATTAGCAGAAACTTAAACATCTATATTGAGATGTCTTAGTCTCAAACCTAATCTCCTTTGACATGTTGACAATGCTCTCGTTGTATGGTGCAATTCCCTTTTCTTCTACTCTTCATGTCTCTGTGAACGTATCAAATATCTTACTCACGGTCTTTTCTCACATACCAGTTCCTTTATTTCCCTTAAAAATAATTTAAAAAAGGATTTTGTGACTTTAGATTGCATTTTTTTTTTCTGTTCTGTAGTCTCTCCTGAAGAGAATTACTTTTTTCTGAAATCTGGTATCAAAAGTTACATACCACTTCAGTTCAATAGGATGGATAAAATGCTAGACTTTATATATTTCTCGGCTGCTTTCAGACCTCACCACAGCTGGGTTTTCCCTCATTTTTGGAACAATATTAAAATGTTGACTCAATCCACAGATTATTCTAAATATTTAAACCACGTTTCAACATGTTACTAGCAACAGAAGCTATATTGCTTTGAATTAGCTCACCTCTGTTCTGCGTAAAACTAAGCATCACTTTGTGATGTTTTTATTAAACTTGTTTCTGTGACTTCTGAAAATTAACTGCTACTGACTCTGACATTACAGTAGTGATCAGGCCTGAATTTCATCATACCCATCCCAAACCTCAACGAAGTACATCTGAAGAAGATATTCAGAGAAAAGATTAATTTTGCTACTCCCATAGTAAGATTCATACATTTCTGACAACCATCCTTTCACTCAAATGCAGGAAGTGTTCTAAGACTTCTTCTCTTGGATACATGATGTCCACTCCCTTTAGAAATGATTGAGAAACCTCCCAGTCTAATGATCCTCGATAGCTGTGCCCGCCTGGCAGGCCCATGGCTCTGGGTGTGTGCCCTGGACACACTCCAGGTCAAGCCCAACCCTTTGGGTGCACCACCATTCAGCACAAATGTTCCTGGAAAGGGGTTGGAGGCAGGGGCCTGGGGAGATTTGCCATGACCTCTTTGAGGTACCCAGGGATGATGATACAGGGATGCAGCCTGCAGGCAGGGAGGGAGCACTGAGAGATTCTTCCAGGAAAAACGGGAGAGGAACAATCTACCATTCCTGATGCTTCTAAGGTGGAATGCGCTTTGAGAAGATGCTACTTTTAGACTAATTTTGAAACTCCAAAATTTCAAAACCCAGCAGTGCCTCTCTTTCTCTTCTGCTATCACCCAACTAAGGCAGCTTTATTAATTCTAATATTCTAACAATGAGTCTTTTAGGCCAAACTGATTTGACTCTCAGTACATCGTATCCTGACCCAGCGTTAGCTGAAACTGAGGATGATGAAGTTTGAGAAAAATAATGTTCTTCAGATAAACTAACAGCATCCTGAGCCAGTACAAGCCCACCAAAAAGGACAATGGTGTGGCTTCAGGTACTGCAGAAACAATATGTAAAACCTTTTGCACAAGCGATGCTCCATGTTTTCCATCGTTAATTTGGACAAAATGAGGATAAAACATTTTCCAACCAAATCCCAACTACCAGCTTACTGTAAAAACAGATTTAACTGTTGCTTGCCAACTTATGCACAACCATATGTCTGTATTAAAGTTATCAGGCAACAGGTGTCCAGATAACAAATCTGATTTTGTGGGTTCCTGAGCTCAGAGAACAAGGTCCTGACCCGCAGTGCCTTCCATTCTGTCCATGCAACAAGCCATTCCTGATCCCTGCCCAGCTACTCCGCAGCTCCTGGCACAGCCCAGGGCATGGCCTCCACCCTCACCTTTGTCTGAATGGTGGCAGCCCAACTTCCGCAGGCATTCTGCCAGCCTGGAAAGGTGAAAAGCAAAAGAAAATGCCGCAGATACAATGAAGAGTTTGCTGTAAAGCAGCTAGAAAGAGCTAAAAAGCATCAGTCCAAATCTAACAAATCAAACATTTCGTTCTCAGTTTGTTACGAGATAGTCATTGCTTTTAGCCTAAGAAAGTATTTCATAGGATGGAAGATCTAAAGGCTGATGGGTGAAAGTAGTGAGGGAAGGGCAGGAGAAAGCCTAATGAGTCCTCGGTCGTTAAGAATTTGGTGAAACTTTTGTAAGGCGGTAAAGACTTCCAAACTTTTTGATTCACCTCCCCTCCTGGCACTGTTAAACTGTTCCCACAGAAAGGAAATGCAATTTACTAGCATAAAGAGCATGTTGAACATGAAGACGGCAACAACGTGAACTCCTCACTACCTTCCTGTTCCTCCCGGCGCCTCTGGAACCCCACCCATCCCAGAAACCGTTCCTGCTGGGATTTCCTACCTCCACCTGCTTTCAGGCAGCAAACGGCGATGGCTTTTATCTAATTCCCAAATAAAGAGAGAACACCCGTTCCCAGACACACACAGCAGGGTTGGTAGGGCTGCCAAGTCCTGATGGGAACACCTCTCTTCAGCGGCGGCACTCGGGACCCCCGCGGCGGTACCACCGCGTCTCCACCCCGCGGCAAAGCAGCGCCCGGTGCCGAGGGAGCCCCGCGGCAAAGCAGCGCCCGGTGCCGAGGGAGCCCCGCGGCAAAGCAGCGCCCCGCACTCACCAGCAGCGCCAGCAGCCGCACCGCCGCCACAGGGCCCCGCGACATGACCGCCGTGCCGTGCCGTGCCGGGACAGGCTCAGATCCTCCGGCCGCCCAACACGGGAATGCCGGCGGCCCGTGGAGTGGGGCACAAGTCGCCGCGGGTGGGTGGGGTGTGCCGGGCGGGATCTGCGCCGGGAGAGGGCAAGAGGCACCCGGCCCCGGGCCCCGCCCGGCCCGCGGCGGCGAGTCCCGTCCGCGCCCCGCCCGAGGAGGCAGCGCCGGGAGCGCCGGGCCCGGCTTCCCCGGGGCTTCCGAAGTTTGTGGTTTGTTTGTCCCGCTTCCGCCGAGGAAGGCGAGCCGGAGCGTGCAGGAGGACTGCGACAACAAACTGATACTTTCAGGAGTAATTGACAGGGGGGAGCGCAGTCTTACGGGAAAATAAAATTGTGGGCGTTTTTAGGACAACCTTCTCTATAATCCTCGTTTTTTATACGCTCCTAGCTATATCCTTCCTACTCTTATCTGGCAGAGATCTTTCCTGGATACGCCTGGTTAATTGATGCTTACGAAGGCATAACTGATTCTTCATGACGGCGAAACAATTAAACGTGCTTTCTTGTACATCCTCTCTGCTGAGGCAGTTACCTGGTTAAGCTTTCCAGGGTCACACTCAGTTGTGGTAAGTAACTTCAGAACCTGATGGTTATGATACTATTTGTGATACTGTTGGGGTCGGAGAGGGGAACCAGCCTAAAGGGAGTCTTTCCAATCGCATTATATACCGTTATTGCATGTTGCAACAGCAATGGACAATAAATAATTCAATGTCAATTGCAGCAATTATAATTTCCATGGCTGTCATGGGGGGAAGAGCTTTACCTCAAAAGTTTTTCTGGAGAGACAAATATATGTTTGTGTTATTTACTTGGAATATACCATTTTATGGAGTTTGCTGATATCCCTGCGTAAAAATAGTTGTCCTAATTTAAACAAAACAAAAGTCATTAACAAGACAATATATCTGAAATGCACAGTATTAAGGGCTTTTTTATGCCTTCTTTGTTCTATCACTGAGTCACTATGCTGTACTGATAACTTTGTAACTACACAGAACTATGCATGTCCGCACAGCACTACACACTGACATTCTGTGAGGATCTTCTTCAAGGTCTCGAGGACAGAGGTGTATTTTGGCCCAGGTTTAATCTCTGTTGTAGCTACTGCAGCTAATGGTAATAGAAGTACTGTGAAGTTTCCTTTTAGCTATTCCTGTTTGAGATAAATGAGAAAGAGCATGTCTCAGAGAGCATTCATATTGCAACCCTTTAAATTTGGTGATTTAGAGGTAGATTCTGATTTCAGATGTATATTAAATTTCCTAGACTGATGGTCAAGTATTTCTTTACATTAAAAGGCTGTAAGAGAAGAGCCATGATTTGCAACTTTCTTCTCAATCTGCAGGTTGCTTTGTGGAATTCTGAAACAGTTTTTTGTTGCCAATCCAGCACACTGTTAATGAGATAATAGTATATATATATATAATTTACAACTATTTGCCAGCTTTAAATGCTGATATGGTGGAGTAAAAACATAAATGAATTTCTTTTGAAAAATGCTTAGCATTGATTTCCCTTTGAAGTCACATGTTCTTACAGGAGAAATGACTAGAACAATCTTTTCCCAGAGCTCAATAGCTCAGGAGCTCTTGTGAGAATTATCTTGCCAGGGCTTAGATGTCTGTTCTTAAGTTTCTTACAGCTTAAGCATGGGCCAGCTACATGTCTTGGACATCCTACAAGAACCTCAGATATCATAAAAAGATTGTTTGTTGTTTCTTTTCTCTTTAAGTTGGCTGCCTTGCATGAAAAACTTCTGTTATCCCTATTGTAGGAAAATGATTTGCCTGCTGTTGCAAAAAGAATGTCAAACAGTATAAATATTGTTTTAAAACAGCTAGTAAGTGTGTCAGCAACCACTGAGACTGAATTTCTTTCTGTTTTTCCCTCACTTTAACCTGGCAGCAGCTACACACTCCTCCTCCCATAACCAGGCTGCAGTTCTGTCCCTACAGTCAGTTTGCACAGGAAGACCAATTGAGCATTAGATCTTTGTTTTCCCGGTGGGGACAGCAGCAATTCAGAGTTCTCTGACACCGCAGAATAAAGAGAAAGTTAATATTTGCTTTTGAAACCATAAAAGCAGCTGAGCCCTTCTTGGTGCCTGGTGAGGAAAGGGGCTTTCAAGGTAGGAGGTTGCTCTTTTCTCAAAGTATAAACATCTCAAAAAAGTACAAAAGTCTAAATTCTCTTGATAAACTTTTAACAGCAATTAATTATCATCTAAAACAGCCTAACATTTGTCAGGAGGGAGAGTGTTTGCTCTCAGAAATAATAGTTGTAAGCATAGGTGTTCTAGAAAGTTACTATCGCACCCTTGCCATAGTGGCTGGATCTTGGTGACTCCCTTGAAACCTTGCCTTGCCCCCAGCTCTGCCTGCTGCTCCCTAATCATGCTGACTAATCTTCCATGCAGCAGTGCCAGGAAACTTCTGGCTTCCCTGGGGTGGAGAACAAGGACATGCTTGATCAGACCACCAGAGTCCACCTCTGCTTCTTACAAAAGCAAGGTTAACTTTCCAACAATTGTGTTTTTTAGTTTTTTGAGGGTTTTTTTTGTTTTTTTTTTTTTTTTAATTAGAACAATACAGTTTCTTCTTTTTGACAAGTGATTCAACCAAATAAAACAAGTCCAGTACCTATCAAGTGGTGTTAAGGTGGAAACCCAGTGTATATGCTCAGTAATGAAATGTTTAAATTCTTTTATATTCACATAAAGCTATTATAAAAATATTTTGCATTTTTTGAGATTGTCATTAATATTTTCTGCATTGTTTAAAGATTCTTTACTGCACTGTGGTTGCAGATGGCACTCATTTTTTGGGAAGAGATCCCAGTAGAAGCAGTGTATCAGGGCGTTGCATATATATATATATATATATATGCCAATATAACGTTTATTTATTCAAAATAGGTAATGGATAATGCATAATATGTAAAAAATACACATCACAGAGGATTTCTAAGCCCCAGACAGCTCTTGAGGCCAGAGCAATTGCAATAGGTACAGTCATCAGCTTCGAAGTGCTCACATGACCAAGCACCTGCATTTTTTTGAGAGCAAAAATGCTCTGACTGAGGAGAGTAGATTAGCATCATGATTTGATACTTTAAGCAAACACTTGGCATTCTGAAAATGGAGTCATTGTTGTTCCTGTGTGGGTTAAATATGTTTTTGATTCTCCCTGCCTCCTGTCGTGCACCTTAAACAAATTCAAGCAGGACTAATCCCCGCCACTTTCTTTTGCGTTACCTCCTCTCTCTCACTTAACTGCTTTCTCCTTATCTTTCTCTGTTCTGCTCTTTCTCTTCTATGCATTCTTTTTTTTTTTTTTTTCTTTTTTTTTTTTTTCTTTTCCTGGTGTGGCTAGGTTGTTTAACTTTTCGGGTGCCAGGTGCAGCTGTGGATATGAATAAGCCTGTTGAACTGTGAGCCGTGGGATTGGCAGAGCTGTAAAACAGCCAGGCCAGCTCCTTGTCCTGAACACAGGCGTTTTGTTACTGCCAGCATGATATACTGCCTTTTATGTGTGTGTGAAACAAGGCGTGGCAGAGTAACCCTTTCGTTGCTTTCCTCTCTGTAGCAACTGGCACTGCTCTGAAATTGCCTGTGGACTTTTTTCAAGGCTTGCTGTCTGGGAGAACTCATGACAGAGAGCATTTGAGTAGATACAAATAAACGACTGCTCTGCTGTGCAGCTAGTAGAATAGAATAAAATAGAATAGAATAGCTGAGCTGGAAGAGACCTACAGCAATCAGTCAGTCCAACTGCCTGAGCACTTCAGGGCTGACCAAAAGCAACAGCATGCCATTAAGGGTATGGTTGAAAAGCCTCTTAACTATTGATTGCTTGGGGCATCAACCAGCTCTCTAAGAAGCCTGTTTCAGTGTTTGAACAGCCTCTCATTAAAAAAAATGCTTGCTGATGTCCAGTTTGAAACTCCCCTTGTGGAACTTTGAACTATTCCTACATGTCCTGTCACTGGATACCAGGGAGAACCCTCTCCCTCTCAACACCTCCCTCTCCACTTCTTCTCTTCGAAAGGCTGTAGGAAGCAACAAGGTGGCCCCTTAGCCTTCTTCTTGGCAAGCTAGACAAATCCATAATCCTCAGACGCTTCTCATAGAACATTCCTTCCAGCCCTTTCACCAGCTTTGTTGCTCTCCTCCGGACACGTTAAAGGACCTTCACATCCTTCTTGACTTGTGTGGGGCCACTGCTTACAGTGCTCCAAGTGAGGCCAGACCAATGCAGAACACAAAAGAATAATTTCCTTTTAAGACTGACTGGGTGTGCTGTGTTTGATGTACCCCAGTCTGGAGGTTGCCCTCTGGGCTGCCAGGGCAATGCTGACTCCTACTGAGCCTCCTGCTGGCCAACACCCCCAGATGACCCTCTGCAGGCTGCTCTGCCACCACTCCTTTCCCATGTTATACTTGTGTTTAGTGTAAGTGGAAATATTAGCTTCCTTTTGGTCTGTGAATTTTTATCTAGTGCTGAACAGCTGAACTGTATTCAACAGAAAGATAATTTTGAAAAGTTGCACCTTGGAAAAAATCTCTGATGACTCACTCTAATCTGTCAAGACCAGTATTAGCTGCAATGGTACAGTGTAAGTTTTCAGGGACTGTAGGTTCAGAAATGTGGAATTCCCAGTCTCAGAAGAAAAACAGTATTATTCTATTTGTTTTTTTCTGTCACAACTGAGGTATATGAGCTAATAAATGTAAAACTACTGTGTGTGCCTCTGCGCTGTGTCAGTAGGTAACCTTAGAAGGGGCTGGTTTAGCAAAAAAAGAGGGCTCCATTTAAAACTGAAGAACAATGCAGGCAGGAAACCAGATATCAACTGAACTGAAGTTTAGGCTGGAAATTGGAGGAATGCTGAACTCTGATTGGTGGAGTTTGGAGTGTCTTGGTTGGAAATTCAGAGATGAGAGCTCAATGGATTTGAATATGGATTCTATAATGTGTTTGCCAGTTGTCAATGGACTGGTGGTGATAACAGAAAGTCACTTCAAAATTTTTTATGGAGTCATAGAATGGTTTGGGTTGAAAGGGACATTTAAAGGTCATTTAACCCAATGCAATGAAGCGGAACATCTTCAACTAGATCAGGCTATAATAAAAAAATATATTTATTAAGAATAATTCCAAATTACCTAAAAAGACCCTAAAGGTGCAATATATATGCATATTCTCTAATTTTTTAAGTCTTTGATATATAAAGTGAAACATGCACTCAGGAGTAGTCACATGTTTCACGCTAAAATAGATAAAGTGGTCAGTCTGAAGATAAAAGGGAATCTTGGTTCCTATGTCCTTACAGGCTCCAAGAAACTTCAGTAAGGCAGTAATCACAAGTCCAGGAGACTGGATTAGATAATCTTTTAAGAGGCTTCCAAACCAATCCATTCTATGATTCCATAGTTTTTAAAAGGTACATTAGAAAAAACATAGGTGCTCTCTGCATTTACAAAGAATGACAAATTACAAAAAAGGAAGATTTAAGTAAGGTACCAGCTGAACTTTCCAGTAGGAATAAAAGGACAACTGGGAGC